ACAGTACATATTGTTGTAGTAGGATGAGGATTATTGCGCTACAGTATATATTGTTGCAGTTGGATGAGGATTATTGCGCTACAGTATATATTGTTGTAGTAGGATGAGGATTGTTGCGCTACAGTTGATATTGTTGTAGTAGGATGAGGATTGTTGCGTTACAGTACATATTGTTGTAGTAGGATGAGGATTATTGCGCTACAGTATATATTGTTGCAGTTGGATGAGGATTATTGCGCTACAGTATATATTGTTGTAGTAGAATGAGGATTATTGCTACAGTATATATTGTTGTAGTAGGATGAGGATTGTTGCGCTACAGTTGATATTTTTGTTGTGGGGCGAGTGTAGTAAATACGTATCGGAAACAAATTTAACAACAAATTAAGATATTGGAATACTTGTTTTGTTTGTTTCAGTATTTCACCTAAAATTGGCGCACAGCGAACTGTAATTTTGAATTGATTAAGAAGATAAAAGGAGATTAGTCAACAGCACCCACCGAAAACTGTTGGGCTACTGTTGTCTGGTCAACAGCACCTTTCAAAAACTCTTAGGCTACTGTTGTCTGGTCAACAGCACCTTTCAAAAACTCTTGGGCTACTGCTGTCTGGTCAACAGCACCAACCAAAAACTCTTGGGATACTGTTGTCTGATCGAATAGTGGCATTTGACCGTCAACTCTTATTACTCACCCACGACTTCAAAGTGCAGAGCGCGTTTCCGCAGCAACTGATCACAAACCTGAAATCTTCGGATTCACATGGACCAATAAACACACCTAATAATAATAACGTAAACATACTTTCTTAGAAAGTAGTTTCAAGGTAGGCTTATAAAAAGAGCAGAGAAAGTTTGATTTCATGAGTACTTTCCTTCTTGGTATGTTGTCCTAAATACATATTGATAACTTTCATTACAAGCTACTCAGATAAAACACTTGAGACAGTGACGTTGATAAGTAAATGACACGATCTATAAATATCTAATAAAATGTCTTTATCCCAAATTTAATCCATAGTAGCCCATGTTACTTCCCGCAGAAAGTTGTATCTGTACCCCGAGTTTGGAGTCTGTAGCTTTAAAGACGTGGCCGTGCATAAGGAACATACCCACAGAGAGATAGAAAGACATTCGCGCTTATATATATATATAGATATACACATAATATGAAGATTGTACGTCAAACTGACCTTACCTCAGACTGGAGGGGAAACTGTTAGATGCTCCCTTGGTTTGGATGATATTCAGTCGGAACCTACAAAATAAAACACTGCAGTAACACCTCTAACAGAGGGATATGTTTAAATTAAACAGATACGTTTAAAAAAAGGTGTTGTTTCAAACTAAAACAGAATATGTTAAATACAATCTTATAATATAAACATAAACATCA